CGTATGCAGACCAGGTTTCGGCGTTCGAGCAGTCTTCGTTAGTTTGCCAAGCCCAAAAATACCCCTGCATCCATATTCACGTGCTCTACTTCTCAGAAATGACTTGCCTTTGGTTTGACAATGGAAAGATTTCTGTTTTGATGCGTACTCTACCACTGTGCTAAACGTCTTTGTAGACGTTTCCCTAGCGTAACCTGGCTGGTATTCAGATAAGTAGGTCCAAAACCATAACAATTTATTGTTTCCTTTTGCCTGGCACTATCTCACACCCAAAACTCCTATACATCAGTACTATATTGCTTCACCGATGCATATAGTATTTGGTCCACCTAGGCAGGATGCGGATTTCAGTTTCTTCTACTACCAACCTACGGGATATGTTATGTCTGTGCTTCTTTACACGCTATGAACCATTGTTTCATAGGTCCTTGTAATTATTGCCTGCGTATGCAGCGCAGCGAGTAGCCCACTGGTCTCTCCAGTTAAAAATTTTACGCCGTATAGGATTTACAGTTTGGAATCGGAACAGTCCAAGCATTTCAGTTTATAGTATCATATATATATATATATATATATATATATATATCATAAAACCCTTTTTCGTACCCACGAATAGCCTACTGTTTATTAATTCCCGCAAATGAGTATTATGTACGCTTCACATACTTTCTTAAACTAGGGAATTTGGAGAATAGAGGTTCTCTTGACGTGGATCGAAAGACCAGTGCTTTCCATCAACACGAAGAAACTGGTGTATCCATTTGGCGCGTCATATATGTGGCAAACGAGTGGAATGAGTTGCAAACGCATCGCAAGACCAACCTACTGATCACGCTAGGATGTGTTCTGTTCTTCATGCACGTAAGTGCTTTCGTTAAATGCGAGTTTATTGGATAGCGGTATAAGCAATAAGACAGCAATATCACACAGAAGCGACTTTCTAGTTAGAGACAATCAAAGTTTGTACGGCCATGAAATCTGGCTCATCACATCGACAGACGTAAAGAGACTAAGTACGTTCGGCCATTGCTACCTTCGCAGCTTGGCTAATGTCCAGGGGAAAACCCGCCTGAGTGGTGAGCATGTTCGGAGTCTTGTTTATAGTACGGCTAGTGAACCACTCAGCGCAAGTATATCGTGCACCAGGCTCCAATGACGGCGACGTGTTAGGCACGCCAGCAGACCGACTTCCACGAAGCATTTTGTTTGGGCGCGGGGGATATTGACGGAAGAAGAGGAAGTGAGGCCAAGCGATGGCTTGGTTAAGAGGAATGAAGGATCTCACATCGAAATTCTCCTCGGTTGGAGCCTTTTGACTCCCGGGTTGTGATCCGAAACACGAGTAACACGTTTGGTTGGATACATTTGTTGTTATCGGGAAGACCTGAACTCAATGGATTTTAGAAATTATCGAGAACACCTGTAGCTCGGGATGTGGATGACAAGATTGTTGTGCTCTCCGAGCAAGGCGATTTTGCCGGAGTCGTTCCGCTGCCAAACTAGGCAACGGCCTCTGTGTGGATATAGGGTTCTGGTTTACAGAGTCTCGTAAGCCACTGCCAGATCCAAGTGACCCACGTGAGCCAATCGAAGACACACTCAAAGCACGAAAAAATCAATAGTCACTTGGATCTGGCAGTGACTTACGAGACTTTGCAAATCAGACCTCTATAGCCGCACTGCGGATATTGCCTTGTTTGGCAACGAAGCGGCTGCAACAAAATCGCCTAGCTCGGAGAACACAACAATCCTCTCATCAATAGCTTTTGTTTTGTAGGTTTCTTTGCCTTGCGCTCTCCTCCTACCACGAACTCGTCATGATTGCCTAATATAAAAGAATGTGTAGTCCTATTTTGATATTACTCTTAAGGTTGCTTTTCTTTATCCTTTTGTTTTACTAGCGTCAAAGTGAATGGTATTGAGGCACAACAGCAAAAATGCATTCCACTCCTAACGTGCAGAATGATGAGTGATGGTGTTAATGCGTAGTGGTTTCTTTTCATTTATTTGCGTATTAAGCACACTTCCTTTAACCAAAGCAATAAGTATCCTCGTTGACAACCTGAGACTATGCCATTTCTTTTCCACGGTCTAATAAATAGATTTAGAGTCAGAAGACCATGCCATAGGTTAACCCACAAAAACGCATAGATGAAGAACAAGATTCAGAGGCTATGACGATGTAAACGGTGTGCGAGTCACAAGACGTAAAATTAGCACGTGTTGGTGCCTAGCAGGTATAGGTAAAACATAGCAAGTACTCTGTTTCGAATGAACCTGCATTACCTTCAATCGCCACTTCGGCATTTGCCAAATGCTCAGTTGTCGTCGATAATCCACCGTTTCAGAATCAGTATCCATTTTAACTGTTTGTAGCACGCTTGGCTAGTTGCGAACCCACACAAAAGATGAGCACTACATAAGCCATGACCCAGACCAACGTTTTGCTGACTGGGAAACTGAGACCGTGTAGCGATATACTCTGAGTTAAAGCCTTACTTTCTGGTTCGTTGGGTCGACATGAATTAGTTCAACACAAATTAGATGCAAGTTTCACCTGCAGCAATTGAGGCCAAGCAAACACTAGTTTAGCCAGTATAGGAGCATCACTTGGACATGGGAGGTGTGATTGACGGAATGATAACGTAACAGTGTCATAAATCTTACCCCATGAAGCTTGTATATACCTTCACATTTTTCAGGTTGCTGGAATTGAGAATTATGCTTCCTCGGACCCTCGATCAAGTACGACAATCAATCCGCTCGAGTATCACAGCGACAGAAGCAGAATCTTTCGAATTGCTCTTATCCTATCCATAATGCTGATTTCAGGTATGGGATGGCAGTCAGAGATCCGAACAACTTCACAGCTTCTATGTCCTATTTGAGGCAAAGCGCAGTGCACTCTGTAAATGTATAATCATGTTTTCTCAAATACTGGTTAGTTGGACAATCCGACAGGCTAGAAAACCAGTTAATTAGATGAAATCCGCAGCGGTTGGCGGCCAATAAATTTGCAGAAACAGCACTTTGAGAGAAACATTTATTAGTAAACAACGCAATGCTCACCACTGAATCAATGAGTTGGTTGAATGATGTTTGTGAGTAACGTAAGTTTCAATGAGTTAGGTTCAACATGACTGTGGCAAAGCATAAGTACGTGATCAGTATCGGAATCAATAATAATAGCAATGTACCTGTTTCGAAGCGTTCCACCTAAGGTATGCTTTGCTTTGATCGCCTAGCATAGGATAGTATACGACTCGAGGGGGGAGGGTAATGATGGACGTGGTAGTGGTAAATAGAACCGCTGAATCCCATTACCGTTGTGCCAAGCGTTACTCACGAAGCTAAGGGGCATAGTGATCAAAGCATCAACTGTTAACCATTAGGCCTCGAGTTCCAACCCAGATCAGACTACCACCATCTGACGAGTTCAAACGAGGACGAAACCGGTCATAGAGTGTCAATGCTAGGAGGAGCAACACCGAAACAGCTCCACCTCGGATACCGCCCCTGTGATCGGAATGACGGAGGTCTACTACAAAGTGAACCGGTCTCCAAAGAGATTGCATGCCGTAATTCAACAGCATGGCAGGTACACCAAAACCAACTTTAAAAACAGCTGACCATTCGTCTGGGTTCAGTTGGTTCACACAAACTGCCTTGTAAAGAACAGATATGCTGAAGGGAACACCAGTTAACGAGCCCCAACGGTGTGTTTGTTGTTGTGTTTTGTCCGGGTTCCCCGTCTAAATTACGAATGGTGCTGCGCACTACGCGTGGCGACGTTTATTATGACAAGGGACACCGAGTGTAGAAAGAAAGTTCTCTCCGATGAGCCTAACGTTCGTACAATGAACAGCATTTTGTGATCATGCGGTGTTCGTGCATTGGCGCTCTGACACCGAATGCTCGTCTATGGCACATAGGTTTAAATGAAATTTCCGCTATCTTCTACTGTTCTTCATTAGTATGGTGGTTATAGTTACGTGGTATCGAAGTACCGACAAAAAGAACTACACTGCTTCTGTTACTGGTGACAATGCACCAACTCCTTACCCGACAGTCACTAGAATGGTCGATATCAAATAATCTGGAAGGTGAACTAAAACTGAAGACACTGTCTTTGGCGCCATTAACTCCCGAACCGACAGCACAGCTGGTGACAACCTGACCGTAGAGATCGTGCATGTTACTCACTTGTTACGATCCGATAGCAAGTATGGATAAACACAGGAAGGCAAGTAAAGCTCATAAAGGAATTACAGGACAGATCGCGGAAAAACTCAAAATTCAGCCCCCTTTCAATAACCCCAAACCAAATTTGAAAGATGAGACCTCTGATTGAGATTCATTATCATGTCAACTCAGTTGACAACCAATCAAAAACTCGTGGTTACTTATAGGTCCGCAAATGGCCCTGTGAGATCAGTTAATCACAGCCCAGGTCTAAGGAGGGAACGGATTTGTGCGCAGAGTTTAAAAATGAAAGCGGGGCCAATAGTAGATCCATAGTGTGATCGATTCCATTGTAGATCTAGGGAAATCTGGCATTCGCACAACATAACTTAGCCAACCTAGTATTCCCGGTACCGATTGCGAACGCAGGCGGCAATTTATTTTGATGCTCGGACTACTTTGCTTTGCGTACTCCCAGGGGCAGTATCCTGGAATAGGATAATGTTTACACCTGAGATCACTACTTCGGTCTCCAAGGAGTAAGAAGCAGTGAATAAAGGACACGAACATAGGATAATAATCAGATTACTGAACAATATGTTTGTGTAGCCATATTCACATTGTAGACATTTTATTGCGATTTTCAAATTGATGGTAAATGATAGATTTCGATTAGCGACATTTGGAATCGCCTTCACCAAAGCGAGCACTTTTTTCAAAATTATCTTTCCTTAATTCCATCAATTACTTGGCAGACGATTCAGTAACCCATCGTATGTAATGTAATGTACTCAGCCGTCACTCTGCTTCTATGTTAGGTATCATACAATGGTTCCTGCGCATTATTCTGTGGGAGAAGTGCTTCTCCGACAAGCTACGAAGTTTTGCTGACCTATGCAGTGTAGCAAATGTATCAGTTTTCATAATGTCTCAAGCCAATTTCGGGTACTACATCCATGGACATTCCCCGACCGGCAAGTCGGATGTCGATTTGGGCGGAATAGAAATCATGTTGGCAACCGAGATCGGAGGGGCAACACCAAGGCGAGGGATAACTGCCGACTCCGATGAGCATACCTACCGAATGGCTTTGCCTGCAGGGGTTCGGGAGGCGCTGGATCGGTTATATGCCCCACTTCTTGACATCGCGAACAGAGGAGCATCAAAAACCATAGGTGCACCCACGAGAAAAACAAACGCGAATGTCTATCAAGCGCTGAACCGGTTTCTCGTGCGATTTATTTCCAGAGTAAGTGACAGAATCACTTCATTCTGCGCAGTAATTTTCAACACGGCGATGGTCGAAAGCCGCTTATGTTGAGCGGAATTGGTGCAAATATTAATGACTAACTAGTCATTCAAATACCAAATACAGTGTGGCAAAATAATGATAAAAGCATTAAATGGCGCACATTTGAACAATAATTAACTTCGGGTTAAAAAGTAAGTTCAGTAGGATGGTTGAAGTGAATACTACAGAGTCAAAAAGCACGTAGGTTATCTTCCGAGCGTCTATTGAGTTAAATGCGTTGGTACATAAAGTTAGTGTAAAATAAAAACAGAACAGGAAAATATCCGGGATGAAGACAGCAGAACAAGACTCAGCGGACAGGCTCTTTTCGGTGGATCTTCTCATGTTTGTACACCAGAGCTGAGACGAATAAAATGAGTTAAAACATCAGACAAGGGTAAAATTAAAAGGTCTAGGTCAGCTAAATTACAAGGTCAAATGCTTGGTTCACAAACGGTCAATGACATGTCAGCTGCATGTTTCTCAGCGGGGGTTACTGTAATAGGGGGCCAGGGAATACAGAGAATCTGAACGAATCGTTTTTGTGCACATAGGTCTGGGTTCTGGAGGCGGATGGCGATCGCTTCGGCTGTTGCTAATAAGCGACATCTTACCGCTCGTGTGTAGCATCCAGGTACGCGGTAAATGGGCTGAAAACATTGGTATGTATCGATGTGATGGTTAAAAGCAACTAAATGTGCCAACACGGCGCTCGTCACAGTTTTCGTTCCACATACACACAGCCAAGTCAGACAATGCTCATGGATTCTCTCAAACAGTCTCCTGGTTGTTCTTCCGATATACCTTGCTTGACATGAACAAGAGAATGAGTATATCATATAAGGTTTAATTACAAAGGGATGGATAGGGATTGGTTCAGGGGTTTGTTCTGAACTGACTCAGTCAATGGTTAGACAGCGAATAGTTCGCCGCTGTCTCATGCACACAGATCGATTGAGGGTTACGTAATCACAAGGCCTTGTGATTACGTAACCCTCAATCGATCTGTGTGCATGAGACAGCGGCGAACTATTCGCTGTCTAACCATTGACTGAGTCAGTTCAGAACAAACCCCTGAACCAATCGCTATCCATCCCTTTGTAATTAAACCTTATATGATTGTACCGGCCCGTAGATGAATCATTGAAAACAATTGTTTGCCTCAGACTGATGTTCTTGATGAATCACTGAGAATGTTCCATTTGTTAGAATGAGTATAGACAGAAGGAAGTACTTGACCGAGGAAGTCTATCCTTGATTTAAGGCGTTACGATTGGCGTTGAAGTAAATCTTAGCCGCAAACTTGCTGCGTAGTAGGTAGGGTCTATGGCGTCTTATAGCCCTCTAGACGGCTATAGCATTGAAGACTAGTAGCTCAGGTTGTTCAGATGGTGGTTGAACTGTTCGCTGAGCTTGGCAATTTTGTTGCAAACGTCTCGTCACCAATCGAGGTGACTTCATCAGTGCGTAGTTGAGTGACGTGCAGTAGCGTAGAGTAGCGTTACGCTACTGCACGTCACTCAACTACGCACTGATGAGGTGACCTCGATTGGTGACGAAACGTTTACAACAACACTGCCAAGCTCAGCGAATAGTTCAATCGCCAGCCTTCTAGACATTGTCTGCGCTATTCCATCCCCTTTGAACGGCAACGACAGATAAACCAATTTCTTTTCGACCGAATCGGTTTTAGTCCTCGATTTTCGGCACTCCATATTTCTCCGAACAAACTTTTCGGGATAGCCGTTGCTCTCAGAAAGGCCAGCTAAGCAATTCAGCTCATCCGGAAGCGTGTCCTCACTACATATCCTACTTTCCCTTTCGGTTAAACACCTAATCAAGTTCCGCTTCTGGTTTAGTGAGACAAAGCTGGCAATATATATATATATATATATATATATATATATATATATATATATATATATATATATATATATATATATTGCCCATTCCACGTGGCTTTTCTGTGCACGCTGCGTTAGATCGACCCATCTGATCTTCTGCTCATTTGGACGTCTAGGATGGACATGGTACCATGATGTTCAGATTCCAGGATAAACTTAGCATAGTCGTGCGTTGAGTTAAAATGGGATAAAATTTGCTCTCTGCAGCGATGACTGTCTGTCACGTAAAATATATCATCCGTATATCGACCGTAATAGGATAATACGCCAATGACTCCGCTCAGGTAGTTATTTTCTAGCTTGCTCATAAATACATCTGCCATCAGCGGTCCTAGTGGTGAGCCTGTCACTACTCCGTCCTGTTGTCTGTATATTACCCCATTAAACTGAAATTGTATGTTGCTAGTACATAGCATGAGTAGCTGTTTCAACCGATTATTCGAAAGGCCGATGTTCAACAGATGTGATCGAATGGTGTCGCATAGATAATCCGTTGGCTCTTCTAAAGAAACATTCGTGAAGAGCGACATGACGTCCAACGAAAATATCTTTCTTCCGGTTAGGTTATGTTGTAAGAAGTCTGAAGCTGAATGTATCACGGAGACTGTACATGAATTAAACTTTTCTCACTTGTTCTAAAAGCTTGGCTAACTCACAGTCTGTG